TCTTAGTCATTAATTTTTAGTGAGTAAAGCTAACAGACTTTAATTTTTAGTCATGGGCGTGACTACATAGGGATTAAATGGAAAAAAAATTCGGGGGCCTAATTTATAAGGTTCACCTCATGCCGTGAAAATCACACAACCGGCCCTGAGTGGAAGCCTGTAAAAATTCTGTGAAAGTTTCCATGTATGTGTAGTGTTATTCAATTAAAAATCTTGCAATTAACATGTAAGCTAGATAGCAATTTATTGAATGCATCGAAGATGCTCTTAGCAATGTGAATCCCAATATATTTAAATATATTGACACATCATAACTTAGCTTGTTTTCATTTTCTAAAAATGTCTAATGTGTCGAGATATCAAAACGTGTACAAATATGAACAAGGAGAGTTAGTTCTTTTCAAGGTTTTGTCAATCCTAGTTTTAATTCGCTCACTTCATCCTTCATCGTGCTTTTCAATAAATAAATAAAATAAAAGTTAGAATTTATTAAATGATAAAATAAAAGGAAAAAAAATCAGTTTGTTTTAAAATTCCGTTCATTTTCCAGTGGCATTGTCAAAAATGTCACAATATGATTTGACAGATGATGGAAATGGATTGATCCCCCCTTTATGCCGACGGAGAAATTCACAAAAAAGTACATTAGTTGTGAACTAAAGATTGCTTCGTACGATATATTTTGTTACACGACATTCTACGCTTTTCTTGTAATTCAACATTTAAACCTTAATTAGTGGGGTAAACAGACGAAATTATAGTCGCCAGATAGTGATGTCAACCATAAATTTCGGACGACAAGTGAAAAGATAGTGTTGGCAATGTTACATCCTAAAGAAAGTGAGACCAAGAGAAACTTGTTGGTCCAGGACCATGTTTGTCTAATCTTTTTTGCTTAAGTTTTTCAAAACTTAGATATATTACTTTTTCTTTTGTTATTTTCAATGTCGACTTTTATATTAATCACACCTCGAATGAATAATTTATTTGAAACTTGGTAATTTCGAGTACAAGAAAGTCGGAAGTAGGTGAAATATTTAAATGCCTGGAGGAAAGTGGAAATTGGAGAAGCATGTTTCAGTTTGATCCGATTTAGATGTTGACGAAATTATAAATCCTGACCAAATCTCTTCGATTTAGCTTTACTTTTAGGCATACGTCGATTAGGTGAGCTAGAACACAACACGTGTAACAAGCTCAATTATTGTGTCATGTACGTTCACCACCCCAAGCCAAAAGACGCCATTAAACAAAAAGGCAAAGTTTGTAAAGCAAAAAGATCAATAGACATCAATACTTGTAAATATATGCAAATAAACAACACTAGGGTAAAATGCATCTTCAACGTGTCGAAATGTTAAGAAATAAGAACTTGGAACAAGAGTGACAAATAAAACAGTTGGTATTATGTAATTCATTAAATTTGCTGAATCGAAGTAGTCTACTGAGGGTTGGGAGGGCGACTATTCGCTGCTGAGACCCTAGAACCCCATTCGAGTAGCTCTTTGCTGGTGTCGTCCTTGTGAACAATCACTTCGATGAAGCATAAGCAGTCTTTTTGGTCTCCGGTTGCAGTTTCAATTGCTTTAACTAGTT